GCGCAGAAAGGTGCCTGGTGCTCAGAGGATCACATGTTGACGCATTGACCTGCGTGCGCGCGGGGCCTTTAGCACGCAAGTCTCGTGCATCAAGTGGGCGGTTGGGCGTGTTGGAGCCATTCTGCAACTACGAGTTGGACAATCCAAGTAACGGATGACTTGAGCGGTTCACATCCAATCCCAACTTTTTCCCTTTGGGTTCAGAAAGAAATCCCTTTCGTGGTGATCGTTTGCCATTCGGGAATGAATGGCAATTTGGCCAACTCTCCAGATTGAAGAGCCCCTGACGTGAAGCAACAAGAGGTCCAACTTGTTTCCACCGCTTCCCTGGTGACTTTCGGGTGAACTGCGCAGCACTGACCGGGACTAAGGTGGGCGCGGTGGAAGATGCTTGGAACAAGGTCACCACCAGTGAGCCAAGCTCAGAGAAGCGTGCTTGTGCAATTTGACTGCATTCCAATCGCCCGCTCCGAAATTCGCATTTGTCACGCGATCATCTGAGGCCAACGCCTTGCTTTGCAACAATTCGTGCGGGCCCTAGGCCGCTGCCCTGACATGAACGCGTTCATTTCGGGGTCAGATGTTTGAGATGTCAAGGGCTTGGGTCGCAACATTTCCAGAATTTCCAGAGCTGTAACACCTGCTTTCTTTCCAGGCATTGGCCCAAAGCTAAAGTTGGTCAACGGGGCACTACCCACGCTCGATGGAGTCAGAACAGGCATGGTGGCGTGTTTTGCTTTGGCTGAGAGTACCTGTTCCAGGTTGGTTTTAAGGAAAACGAAAGAAAGGCAAAGCCCGTTTTTGCCATTTTGCCACACATCCACATCCGGCACTGGGGGGGGGGGGGGGGGGTTGGGAACCCTTTGGCCGCTTTTGCCTTCTCACCCGAGGCAGGCAGAGACAGGCCGGAAATGAGGAGCTTCTTGTGTGGCTGCACGTGTGCGTGCGTGCGTGCGTGTGTGTGTGTGTGTGTGTGGATGTGTCTCAAAACAATTTAATTTCCGCCGAATGGTCGTGTCAAATGTGCTTAACAAGCTGCAGGGGTGTTTTCTTGGAAGAAGAGCGAATGAAGAAGAAGGCTTGCATTGTTGATGAAGTTGGATCGAGACCTTGCAAAATGGTTGGTCGACCTAGATCCACAATAATTAGATATTGACCAATGGTGCCCCACTTCAAAACCCATGTGTGCTTCTAGAAAATAGTGGTCCCCTAAAATGGTTTGTGTGCATTTGAGGGTCCACCAATGATTCCACCCTAACCTGGCAGGCCACGAGCAATTCCAGAGGAGCGCGTGCATCGCACCTGCATTTCACTAGCACGGCCAATAGTGTCATGTTTTTTGTTCAGGGAAGGCTTTCCCGGCGTTGGCATGTAGGCTCCTACATGACGGCTTGAATTGCCCCATGCTAGTTGTTCGCTGCTGACGAGAACATCTTGAGGCATCGCATGTTGGGAGGCATCGAACGATCAAACGCCTTGCCCGGAGGACCACTCGTACCACGCGGAGCCCGGGTGCAGTGCTGAGATTGGCATCTCATTTGCTTACCACCTGGTGGAGGCCACCGAATGCAGAAATGCGCAACCCCAAGCCAAGAGCATCAAAGACATCCCGAACGACATTATCAAAAAGGCACCCTAACTCAAAGCAATGCACAAGAAAACAGCCCTCAGCACATGCCCAGAACCATCCCGAAAAATACACTCATGAACAGAGATTTCTCAAAGATGACCAAAAGCATATCCGAAGCCATCCCCGCAACCGCCCCGACATAACCCCAAAGTCAGCCCCAAAGACGTCTTCCAGTACTTCTAACAAGACATCTCCCAAGACACTCCCAAGACGTTCTTAAAAACACTGCGGAAGACAGCCCCCGCACATATGTTCGAAGACTCCGAAGACATACAAAGACAAATCTCCAAAGGCATCCCCAAAGCCATCGTTAAAGACACCACGCAACTTCAGCCTCCGAAGACAGTCCACCAGAAAAAGTCCCCAACCAACATTGTCTGAGACACCCCCCAGGATGTTTTTCGGGACATGTTCCGAAGATACCCTCAAGCAAACAAGGACCCCGTTGATGCCGCCAACGACACCCCTATTGACAATTTGCAAAGGCATCTACAACCACATCCCCAAAGACATCAAGACAATCGAAGAGACAAGACTCGCAGACACGCCCAAAAGACATCCCCCTGAAAAGAAATTGCCCCCCCCCCCCCACCGCTTGGCATTCTCATTTGCAATGGACACAGTGACACTTTTGCCCCCCGCCACACATCGAGACCCTTTGCTTTCAGCCTCCAACCGGCATTGCAAGAAGTGGGCATAATTTATCATGTGAGGAAGGTTGTGTGTTCTATGGTTCCCTATGATCATGTCATTTTGGCCACCGTGCTGCCAGCTTCTAAGACCATCCTTTTGCATGGTGGTGTAGGAATGCCGCCCTATGGTCACACCATACCATACCACAAACGGCTGTGCCTCAGAACATGTGGTGTGTCACTTTGACTGACCAGACAAGCATCATACATAGACTCCACCCTTCGGTGTGCATCATTCATAGACTCCCCTCGGTGTTGCTTGCTGCACTAGTCTTCTGCAAGCGCCAGCAAGAGTCTTGCCAAGTGAGCATATTTCCAAGACGGACGGAGAGACAGCGACCGAGCAAACCACTCACAGGCTTGCCTTAGGGAGAGCTCTGGAGGTAAGCCGACATGAAGGGGCTTTACTTGGATCCGGATCCCTTAGGTTTGAAGAGTATTGCGCAACTTGTCGACTGGCGCACCAGTGTATCATTTGTTTTCATAGCGCTTTGAGCCCCCCAGCCCCTAGGCCTCTCTGCGCGGGTTCTGCGCTCAGGGGGTGCATGAGACATCAAGTGAAATGAACTAGCCTGACCAATCAGCATCCTGCTGAGGTATCTATCCACTGTATTGAATTGGGACACGTTTCCGTTCTTCCTCTTTCTTGCTTTGCTCTCTCTCCCTCTTTTTCTTTCTGTTTGTTTCCTCCCTGTCTCTCTGTTTCCCCCCTCCCACCCCCTTCTCCCTTCTCCTCCCTCTGCCTCCCACTCTCTCCCCCCTTTCCTTTTCTCTCTATCTTCTCCCTCTCTCTCTCTCTGTGCTTATGTGTACCTTTAGTTCAGTTGTGTGAGGCATGCTCGACAAGAGCGACATGAAGTGGGTTGTTCCTTCTACCTCTGATCCATGGCTTGGGGGGCGTATTCGCAATAAGTTCAGACGAGCGGGTTTTGCACGGGCCAATGTTCAAAAACGGGCTCCAAAGAGCCATGGGCTTGAGACAGCTTCGGAACGGTTCAGTGTCCACTTCGGATTCCGGAGTGCAATGTTCTGGGGAATCCGTTTAACATCCACGGAAAGGGGAATCGCCACTAGTTGATGTGATCCTCCTCTTGAGTCCGAAGTTGACATGCATTGTGGGAAGCTCATCTTTACCCTTTATGCAGGGGGCCGGGCACACCCCCAATAAAGGGCCAACCTTTAACCATTTAACATGTTTGTGCTTTCACTTTCTGGGCTGAATTGCACATATGCAAATTGCGGCGTGGGGATTTGTCACATGGAAGGTGACGGAGAAGGTGCTTATAATTTTGGGTCAGGGGTGGCCGTTGAACTGCAGCTAAGGCAGCTAGCACCAGAAGCAATCACCAGAAACAGGAATAATGTTCTCAAGTTAACTGATATCACTCCAGGTTGCATGGCAGGGTGGTGTCAAACATCTGGATCCTTGAGCCCTGTCAGGATGATTTGTTTTCTTTTGGCTCTCTCATCCTGCTCCAAGCATGCACCCATACTTGTGAGTTGTATGTCACTGTGGGGGGAAGGCTAGGATCTATTGGCATCACATAGGCAGCCCATTAAACATATTTTGCCCGACTATCCTATGAGTGTGATCAAAGCACCATCAACCTCGATTCGTTGCGTCCCCTGTCATGTTTGAGGTCTCGCAAAATCAAGCGCGGCGCCAATCCAAGAATGCAGAGTCAAGCCAACAGCCTGGCAAGTGAGCCGTTGCTGTTCTAGCTGAGGCTCAGGAGAGTCATTGCCTCCTTAGTTCCACTTTCCGCAAAGATTTCTTCCAAAGGAGCAGAGGTTGTCTCCACTGCATGCTTGCGAACAAAGTAGGATTCTGGAAAGCATTGTCAGTCAAACAAGGTACTGTAGTGGTTGATCATTTGCCCAGTCGCGGGGTACATTCAACAGAAGGCCACCTTAAAGACTTCATGTTCGACCGATTCACAGAGGCGCCAGTTGCACAGGCTGCGGGCATGATTTCCGCGGGAGCATCCTATGGCCCAGTTTCCAGGGATCAAGTGGTGAGCATTTTGTTGGATGCCCCGCGGATCTTCCCAGAAGCGCGCGAGGCGGGCTGTACAGCGCACGCTCGCCAGATGCTTTTGTCCCCTTCCGCATCATGCGGAAACAATCTAAACATATCTTAACGCATCTGGGTGAATTGCACCTGTGACGACCTCAATGATTTGTTGTTCCTGTTCTTATTTTGCTGAAGGTTTGCCCTGACAAAAGGGTCCCTTAACTTACCGACCAGTGAAGTAGTATGATTCACCCGGCTGTTTGCAGCTGCGACGTTCTGTTCAGGCATGATGGCAAATGGTCATGCTTTGCAAGGGGCGCGCTCGCAGTCTGGCAAGTAGTCAGACAGGAGCATATATGCATCATAGTGCATCCATGTGCAACCATGTTGATCCACAATGACTCCATGATGCCCGTGCTCAACATGGTGTCAATAGTTTCACCGGTGCGACCGACCGCACGCCACCGATAGAATCAAACAGAGCTGCTAGATGGCGCCGGAATCACCATCATGGGCCACGCTGAAGTTCTTTAGCATGTGAAGAGGAGCTGTTGAGGTTGCGTTTAGAAGTATTTGGATGCTTGCAGGCTGCCAAGCTGCCACTTTGGGCCAAAGCTCTGGCGTTCAGAACTGCCGAAAGTCTGGGGAACGGCCTCTTCCGCAGGAACCGACCAAGACGACGTCCGAGGAAGGCCGCCCGAGCTTCTTCGTGCCCTCGGCCACCTTCCCGAAGGCGCGAGGTGGTTCGTTTGCAGCCCGGCGCATGGAAATTCACGGTTGTCCGAAGCTGACTTGAACGGTTTCCTCGCTCAACATTTGTTCACATCTTGCATCTTTACACTTCATGATTGTGCTTTGAAAGATTAGAATCGCAGGTTTAGGGTTGAACATTGACCAAGGGCAGGGAGCTGTCAGCTTCTCGTGAATCAGGAGGAAAAAGAGTCGGAGGGTGTGCGGCCCATGCCTGGCTGGGAGCTGGCGATGAGCAACTTCAAGAGGGAGTGGAGGACGGATGCGCAGGAAGCCCCGCCTGGGGAAGCATGGTGGATCACTTGGGCAGTTTCACTGATTCAAAACGTTCCTGAAGCCTCAAACTAGTCTTAGACATGGGATGTTGGTCCCAGATCATGATAAAGCAGTTGAGGCGATATGATGTTCTTGGGATAATTTTCGCATGGGTTGAAGGTTCAGTTTGTTGTTTTCCGCCAGGCCTTCAAACACGACGCTTTCCATGTGCGCGTGGCACGTAGGATGCTGCTCCGAGCCGCGCGTTTCCGGGGCTCTGCGCTGCGCCGCACACCCCGGTACGTGGACGACCTGGTGCTCAGCAACCAGGCGCCTTGCGCCTTGCGTCTTGGAGGTTTGGGATCGAGCCGGACACCTCAGGTGAGCCACGTCAAGGGGCAGTCCCCCGAAATAGGTGCGGCCGCCTGTTAATTTTCTTACATGGATTTGGGTTTTGATTGTGACTCAGGTCTTTGTGTTCTTCTTGTTTCTGACTTTTGGAGGACAGCCACCTGCAAAATGGATTTCGGGGGTTGTGTCACTTCAAATTTGTGGTTTTTGTTTGGGGGGGGGGCGGGGGGTTCATTTTGATATTTTGAGGATGTCTCTTCACTGGAGCCGGGGCAGAGGTCTGGGACATCCAGACCATTTGAATATGGACCAGAATCCGACAATACCATTCTTGGCTGCTAGCTAGAATTCGATCTGTAAATGGTCAAGTGAAGTCGCATGTCACGACGGCATGGGATCCCGGGTTGCGAAAGGACTTAGTGCCCTTTGTAACGGCTTTCTTGTAGGGTTTACAGGACCGACCAACACTCCTTTTGAACACACCCCCAGCACCTTGCTCTGGCAGAAATTGAGACGTAGGTTCATCAACGCAGAGCCTCTCCCTGCAAACATTGACTTCTATGCTTTGTTGCCTATCCTAAAAGGGAGCAGTGCATTGCAAATGATGTTGACAATGCTGATTTGTTTAAAGAGGGGTATTTGTTTTAGGATTTTTGTCTCTTTTTTTTTGCTCTTGGCTTTTCGGCTTCTTGGCTTTTCGGCTTCTTGGCTTCTTGGCTTCTTGGTTTTTCGGCTTCTTGGCTTCTTGGCTTTTTGGCTTCTGGTTGGTTTACGCGGCTTTTGGTGGCTTTTTGGCTTTGGCTTTTCGCATCATCTGCATTCACCAGTTCAAACCAAGTGGCGTTTGCAGCTTTTCGCTGGTTTATGCGGCTTTTGGTGGCTTTGGCTTTTTGCATCCTCTGCTTTCCCAGTTCCTCTCCGGTTCATTGGTTTTTTTCTTTGGCTTTCCGCATCCTCAGCATCACCAGTCCCTCCCTATTTGAATCATCACTTCTTCGAACATCATGGGCGGGGGCTGCCGCCCCCCCAACCCCCCCGCAACTTTTTGGATTGTTTGCAAAGGTTTGATTGCACCCTATTTGAATCATCACTTCTTCAAACATCATGGGCCTGCCGCCTCCCCCCCAGCCCCCGCTACTTTTTAGATTTCTTGCAGAGATTAAATTGCACCCCGATTTGGTTCATCACTTTTTCGAGCATCCAATTTCGTGAGAAAATGCTGCAAAATAAGACATGTTATGTAATCTATGTGATCTATGTAATCTATGTAATCTATGTATGTTTGTATGTATGCACTTCTTCGAAATCAAAGGGGAAGCCACCCGCCAACCCTCCCGCTGCTTTTTATATTCTATCGCACCCTTTCTTGAATCATTGCACCCCTACTTGAATCATCACTTCTTCGAACATCATGGGGGGGGGCTGCCGCCCCCCCAACGAATCATCACTTCCTCGAACATCATGGAAGGGGCTGCCGCCCCCCCCCGCTGCTTTTTAGACTTTTTGCAGAGATTTAATTGCGCCCCTATTCGAACCTATTTAGATTTGCTTTGCAGCGAGTGAAATGCCCTCCTATTTGAATCATCATTTTGTCGACCCCGTCAACCCGCCAGCTACTTTTTAGATTTTGCTACCCACGATTTGTTGGTGACTCTAGGGATGTTGGTCGGACATGCGGGGGATGTTGACCAAAATAAAACGGAGAAAAGAAAAAAAAGAAGAAAAAAAACAAATCCCAAAATAAATCCGCACCCTGTATTTAAAGTTGCCCCTGCGTATTTGAAAGGTGATAAGCTTGTTGTTTAGAAGTCATTTCAGACAGGATATGTCAGCTGAGTCTGCGCCGGCTGATCCCGGCAGACGAGTGCCAAGTAGTTGTACAGCTTGCTGGTTTTGGCATTTCGTGTTCCCTGTCATGCAGGTGAACCGTGTCGGTATTGCTTTTGGTCTCTGAGCAAACAGGCAGGCCAACCTGCTCACGATTTTACACCAGTAGCCCGCAGGGTCCACAACCTGTATTCAGGCACACAACAGTGGGAGCCGCTCTGTTTTCTAATCGTCACGGGAATCCTTGCGCAATTGTCAAAGATGCGACGGCAAGCTAGGACCGGAGGAAGTGGTGATGAGTTGCTCGTCCATATATGAACCACCGGCATGAACCCTGATATGGGTTAAATTGACCGTTTCTTCTTGGTCTATGGGACCCGAGCACTTTTGGGCCGAAACGCCATGGGTTCACATTCTGGCAAAAGGAAACCATGGTTGGCAGTCTGAGAGAGGATATGGGGGGACAGCCCACATTTCTCACAAGAACTTTCAAATAGCCCAATTTGTGCTTAAGTCCTTTTCAGAAACAAGTCACCTTGTCCGGGGCTCATGTTAACGATAGCTACATATACGGGCACACGTGTACATTCTGCCTTTAAACACTGCACGTCTGCAAACAGCGCCGACGCCTTCCCTGAGCCTGAAGCCTAACGCACACAAACACACAACGCACAGACCATGGAGTAGTGTAGTTTTCTATGGAGTTGTATGTACAGTTTGTTGTAAGTGACTGTTACATTGCGCCGTAAACGTCAGATTGGATCTTGCAATTGCGCAGATTACATGGGCCCAGAACCCCTCGACAGTGTGGCCACATATAAGGTGAAGCTGGATACATGAGTTGACTAGGCACTAGCACATGTGAATGGCAAACCGGGTTGCACTCTCTTCAGATGGGAGAAGCATTTACCTAGCTTCCTAGCTTGCTCTTGGGAAACTTGATGGAACCACACCTTCGCCGTCCCTGTTTGGGGTTATCGCACCCTTTACCGCCCTTTAACCCATCCCACCATGGGTCCCTGGGTGCATACCGAAGTCGCGAACCGTGCCGCAAGGCCGTGCTGGACAGGGAGTATGCTCGCCCTCAAGTTCCCACGCCGCCACCCGCGAGGTCCCTGGCTGATCGGAAGGTCCCAACGGCGCAGCTCCAGCTCCATGGGCCCATGGGCTTGTACTAAACCAACTTGCCATACGATCGTGGGACAATGATTTCGCGCCTTCCATTAGTCATTAAAACATTTGTTGGCGCTGTTACTCCCCCGGCACCACACACCCACACACGCACGCACATACACACATTTTCGGCGCGGCTATCATGATCGCGGCGTCGCTGCGCCTGCTGAAATGGGTGCTGCATTTTGAGGATAGCCCTTGTTGGGTTGTTTTTTGACCGAGAGACCAACAGGAAACAACACATATTGCGGATTATCGCATGTAAAGTGGTGTTTCCCTTTGGTGCCCCCTATGAATCAACAGAGCTTCGTTGATCGATTCGGGGATGTTGTTGTTTTTCCCGATTCAACCACAAGTTGTTTTTCACGCTTGGAATGTTCGCTTTTGTGCAGACGACGGCTGGCTCAGGTGCGAGTTGCCTACGATGTCCTATGTTGGTACCGGGCTCAGTTGCGCAGAGTGGGGCATTGCAGTCTTGGCCCTCCCTTTATGTTCCAAACTGCAAGGCAACCCTGATTGGTTGCAGGCTTGCTATTCTTTTCACTCGCTTGGTGCACTCGCATAGAAGGACCCCAGTGAGCCCTTCTTTGGATACTGAAGTTGAACAAAAGGGGAATCCAGCTTCATGAAGATGACCTCACCTACCGGGGATGTGCGATCTCACCTGTGAAGGTCCCTCGGAGTTCCCCCGCATTTTTTCAGGTTGATGTGTTTTGAAGCATTTACCCAGATATGTGGTTAAGCCGTGTCCAATCCAGGATTTAGTTGTTTGAAAGGTCCAATTTGAACAGCCACGCACAGACCCTATGGGCTTGAGAGAAGTCGCATTGGGATCATTTTGTAGGGTGGGGCAAAATTGACAATCAGCTTGGCCCTGGTCTCTTTAGGCAAGCCAAAACGAGGTTGCTTCAACAAGGGGTGTTTAAACATATTTGAACATGTTAAAAAGAGAGCTTGGCGCAACCCGGATCATCTGAGGTTCATAGATGTCGTCTTTGAGGACCGTCCAATCCAAAGGCAGCACACTGAGACAGCGGCGGAGTCCGTTAGTGTAAGGGAAAGGGATGGGTGCAAGGGAACGAAGGAAAGCCGCTTTGCCACTAGTGCCTGTGTTGTCCTGCAATGTGTCTGTTTACCATGTGGCTGATGTATTTGCATAATTCGGAGGTGATGTGCGCGTTCGCATTCCGACACATTTCCCTGATTCCCCCATGACAGGTTCTCCCCACGGATAGCGTTTCCTTGATCCAAGGCAGGTTTTTATGCTCGAACGTCCAATCCGTGCAAGGCACCCTTTCGTGCCCCTCAAAACTGTTACTATGTCAATGTGAACAACGACAGTCATCATTGTCGTAAAGAGGGTGACATTGGGTACGCTCCCCAGGTTGCCTTCAGCATTTGAGGGCTACTTACCAATTGCCCGAAGCTGCGACCTGAGGGTCTGAGCTCACTGGATACCGATACAGCAATGCAGATGTAGGAAGCTGGCTTTGCGGGTGTCAAGCTGCAGTCGCAAATTCGGAGCGGCAGGTTTTGGTTTCTGGAGACCGTCGCCAGAATGCCCTACTTCGCCTACTCGTCAGTTGGGCTCCAAGAACATTGGTCCGCTTTCGGCGTGGCAGGGAGAGATCTCCACCGCATCGAAATAAGTGGAAAACTGCCCCAAAAGGTGTACCAACTCCAAAACTGGCACAACAGGCATGACCCCATTTGTCAGACGGCTCTCAAAATAGCTCTACCTGCGGAGGTCTCTCAACAAACCTCAGCAAACCATTTATAGTATTGATAGCAGTGGCTTGGTTCCTAGAAAGTAGCTATTTGGCTGTAAACAGGGTACCGAGCTTCAAACAAAGCCCCCCCCCACCCCAAAATACAGGGGAAACAAACAGGGCATGGTCCCCTCAAAATAGCCCTCAGCCCGAACATGGGGAAACACTGGGTATGGTCCTTAAAATCTCGCTAGGTCACTTGATTGATACCATTTTGCTAGCTGGGTCCTGGGTGTTTCAATTCGACTGTGACAGGTCCTCCATCTCTATGAGACCTTTGGATGGTGGCGCTCGCCAGAGCTGCGAGCCGTCCATGCGGCGCGGGCCTAAAGAGTTTCCCTTGGGATGGGCTGAGAAACCAAATCATCTCATGGGACAAGTAATAGCTCTAACCCCTTATATCATTCCCCATTTCCCAGTATAATTCGTAGGTAAGCAAGGGAAGCGCCCAAGCAAAAACTTAAATGGCAGGGTACCCTTTCTTCTGGCAGCTGGGATGCACTGGGGATGGTAGGTGGCACTGGGTCCCTGAAAGTGAACATTTTGCGGCTTCACAGCATTATTTTTTGGGGTACTTTCCCTAAACCACCATTTAGACGGTACTGAGGATGTTTCTCCAATGGACCAAGTAGTATGCTTATTGAGGATGGTCCCACTCAAGCCTCACGCAGGCCCGCCTTTACCCGTATTGTTGCTTGGCATATCCTTCGTGGGCAAATTCCACAGGCCTCAGCCGGCCTTTCCGCAATCTGGCAGGAACAAACAGGGCCCAGCCAGCTTTGTGCAACCGAAGGAGCTAACCTTCAAGGAACCTATTTGGGCTGATGTTGGGGAAAAACTATTTGGCCCTTTAGGCCCTTTACCTTTGGTTTCCCATGTTTGGTCCAGTTTTAGTCATGGCCCCAAAAAGTTAGTCTTTTGATTTTGGGTCCCTAAGGGGCAACTGAGCAAAGCCAAAATGAGTGGTTGCTTGCCAAAGAGGTAACTGGTCCGCTAACCAACCCACTGGCCACAGTTTCTCAGACGTTCCTTCGCAGGCGGAGGAGGACAATGAGCGGCAGCCACAGATGGGAAGCAGATCTCTTGAAGCTTCTGATATCTCTGGAGACGGTTCTCATTTTAGAGTGTGTCATTCCAGGTGCTTGTTTCAGTTGTGGGTGTTGTTCTTTCAATATTCTTCAGCGTCGTCTTTTCATCAGATGAGTTGTTGGAGTTCGGCCGGTTGCTTGAATGGCCATCCGAGAGGATTTGCTTTCCTCAGGCTGCACCACCTCTTGATCATGGAATCCCTAGGCCAGGAGCCAAGGACTTAGAGCTGGCCCCCGGCTCCATCGGTCAAACACTTCGCTAAGTCAGCTGAAAAAGGTGACTGTTGGCGACTGGAAGGGGGGAGGCCAGCAAGGACTTTGAGCGACTCTCGTGGCATCTCATGGCTTTGCCATGGCTTTCAGTCTTTGGTTACTTAGCGTTGTGCCGTGGATTCCACAATTCTTGCAATTGGAGAGCTCTGTTGTCCACAACAAGAGCTTGTGGTTGGTGACTCAGGGGACGCGCCAATAGCGGGCGGCGCTTGTCCTTGGATGTGAAGAATGCGCCATGGGGCAGAGCAGTGGAAGAGCTTCCCTGAATGTTTGCGGAAGGATGCCCAAGAAGCCTCGCCTGTAGAGGAATCTGCTTCCACGAAGGCTTTTTTTCTTCCGCGGGTTTCAAAGTGAATTGATTTTTCGGGGAGCAACCCTGTAAAGCGCAAGACCGTCACCGACCAGGAATTCTGACCTTGTGACATGACCGACTGCCTGAGGTGGTGACCAGCGATGGTTGGACAGGCCAGCCCGAAACGAAGACCAAAGCTAAGCTACAGCTAGGGGACGGTCCCAAGAATTGCAGATGTGGGTGTTGTTGTTTTTTTGTGGAACCCTTTTTGTGGTTTCCAAGGGTGCCACAAGGAAAAGACATATATATATATATACACATATATATATGTACACATATTTATACATATTTGGGGGAGACACACCATTTGAATTAGTGTCAAACTAAGGGGGACCCAAAACATTGTGCTTGTCGTTTTGGTTTCCCTTTACACCAAGCTGAAAAGGTGTCCTGGGAAGATCCCTTATACATCTTCAGGGAGGTGGGGTGCAGATATTCGATTTGATTCATTGCCATTGGTGTTTCAGTCGACTTCTTTAGCACCAGGCTTCGATCATGAGATGTTCTTGGTGCACGCAAAAAGAGGATGCAGCCTGTGGTTGTTTCAAATGGTATGTTCTGCAAATGGTTGCTTCACCAAGAGCCCGCAGTTCGAGCCCAGAGTTGGAATGTGGATCAAAATGAAATTCTAGCTTAAGAGGGCTTCCAGCTTACCCTACCATTTCGTATGAACCTTTTGCCTGAGGGCAATCCTGGTCTTCTCGGGTCTTTTAGTTGGAAGGCGGTTCAAAGACAAGCCAACCCATTTGGTGGGTCAGTAATTTTGAGAAGCACTCATTTTCCGCCACCCCCTCGCCGGTCGTGCTGCCTGCCCACAAGTGCGTAATTTGGATTGCCAGACAGGGCCTTTGGAAGTGGGGTTGTCCAGGGCAGGAGCCCTCACCAAAAAGAATGCGGTTGGGATGTTACCAAGCAGGATTTGCAATCCAGCTAATACAGAACATGTCCACCGTTCAGGTCACTGTCAAAGTGCCGTTTTATGCTTTATAGTTATGTAATAATGTGGGTGGGCAAAGTCCTGCACAAGCATGTGGTTTGTCCCGGTTTTCAGAGGGTTTCGTCAGTTCAAACTGACTTTGTCAATCCACAGGGGTTGCAACAAGTCCCCACATCACCCAACATGGATTTGTCAAAAGCGGAACGCTGGGTAGGTTCTTCGCTCAGCATGGGGCTGTAGCGTACTACTGGTTGCTGGTGCTGCCGCCGCCTCATCCAAAAGCAGTCGGGCTTACCCTTCGCCCGCTTGCAGAGAGCTTCTAGATTTTGAGGGTGTCCTGTTGCTTTCAGAAAAAAGGCAAAGGGTTGATTCTTTATGGGCAGGTGTCAAGGTGACCCTGCTCTTTTAGATTTCACCCTGGACATATGGAGCCGGCTTCCCCCCCTCAGTTTCCCATGCCCATTGCGGCGCGACTCTTGAGGATTCACCTCGTTGCAGGCTCTGGCTACAACAGAAGCTTTAGCCTTATGGTTCCCACGAGCATGTAGCCTTGTCTTTTCTTGGCTTCGCCTGAGCTTCTTCGAGGAAAAGCACCCCCTTCCAAATGGAACTGGCGGGGTTTGCCCTTGGATTCGAGGATTGCGATTGGTGACCCTAATCCACCATGCTCCCAGGTAGCATGCGGTGCCCTGCCAAACCCCCTAAACCCGTTTCCGAATCTGCCGAGGTTTTTCTTAGTGGACCCAAAGTGGTCCTACAATTTCAGCCGCCTCATCGAGGTGCGGAATGCAGCTTGAGCTTTGCATGCGGCATATACCCAGCTTAGGAATGATAACCAAATATGTTTTGCACAAAGTAGAACAGCTAACCTGGGAGTATGCTCATCCGTGATGAAGGTCTCATACTTACGGATTTCCTATGTGTGCTTCATGGATGATTGTAAAGCATGGCTGGGGGGCTCGCGCATGGAAGCAGACACGACATGAAGGGGAAACAATGCTCTGCTCTTGGTGGCAACCTTACACATTTGCACAGGACCTATCACCCCCCCCCCCCCCCGCTGAAGCTAGCAAACACCAAATGGATATGTCCTAAATCGGGCAGCCTTCATGGCATTTGTTTCGTGGGGCCTTCCCTTGCACAAATCGCCTAAAAGAGCGGATGCTCAACCTTCAGAGGCCATAGCAAGACCCGGCCAGGCCCATGCAGTGGATACATACGGAGAGTTTGTGGATGCCAACGCAGAGCGGCTGAGGCTCCGGATCCGTCTGGGTGGTTTATCCCATTCGCAGGGGTTCCGTCTCGACTGCGAAGTGGATTTGTTCCATGCACCGAAGAGCCCAAGCACTGAGTTCATTGGCAAATGTGAGTCAAGGACACGGGTTGTCTATTCTTAGGTGGAGACGTGGGGTGGGTCCAGCACATTTTGTCCCAAGCCGTGAGAATGGTGTCCGCGAATACGCAAACTTACTGAGGCAAGGCAGTAAGGGGGGGGGGGAGGGACTCGGATGAAGACGTGTGAATGATCTGCTACAATGCTTCGGCTGCCAACGCGAGCAGGCTCTTGGAGGCTCCTTTTGATGGCGCCTTTTTTCGGAGTATGCGCTTGAAATCCCAGAGCTCACATGAATGCTGATGCGATCGTTGGGCGATATCTGATTTCTGAGAGGAGATTGGTGAGAAAGTGTCAAGTCATCGCCATGTGTGATGCAGCTGGTCTCTGTTCTCATCCAGTCAGGAAGAACAGGAGCTTTGACATGTCTCGAGCACCGCGAGGGGACTACCCAAGCGTCCAAATAGATATATCCAGGTCTGACATGTGCACATACGGAGGTCAACCTTTATTTACAACATGAGCACATAATATGCATGTATGTAGAATCATACTGAATCATATACACCCACAAGAGCATATATATATATATATATATATATATACATGTTTATATACAACAATGTCTACACACATACATGCTTACATGTACGCATATTGGAAAGGGGAAACAACTGCATCATATATATTTTTGCCAAAATAGGTATAGTGTATACCTGTTTGTATGCAATATAGGTCGTGTAAGGTCCATGTACATCATCACTGTATGAGATCATCGGATTGATCGCAGACCTGGCCCTTGAAGACATCAAATTAGGGACCACATGACCAGATGGCCTCAGGAAGATTCCTCCACCTCCCATTGCGGTGGAGTACTACCTGAAGGACGAGGTGGGTGACAAACCGAATGCCTTCCGGTGTGGTGCGCAAGGGGAACCACGTGCAACCAGCAGTTTGGAGGAGTGCAACTCGCTTTCATTCACTTCAGTCTGCTGCTTTTCCTGGCAGAATTACCTCTTTGACAAGATGCAGACCAGCGTTCCAGCTGGCTTCAAGCGCCATGTGCTCAGCAGAAAGAGACAACATTGCTGCGTGGCTCATTGTGCAAGCCTGCTAGCAGTTGAATGGACTTATATTTGGCGGCAATGTCCAGATGATGGCTGGCAAATTGCGCTTGTTGCTTTACTTCAGTGCTTGTGGCATAGGACGTTTTTTCTCTCTCTTGTTTCTATCGTGTTTTGGAGATTCGTTGATTCACTGTAATTCAGAAGTGCCCGCTCGACATCTTACTTGACATGCTCCCAAGGTCGGCCGCCCTGCGCAACTCTCTACGATGCAGGGGGCCTCGTGGCCTGAGCTATCGCAGCCTGTGTGCTGTTCAATAGTGAATCTATCATATGGTAATGCCGAAGGCATGTATCGCAATCCTGACTTTGGAGTCCTCCAGAGTGAGTTGGTTTAAGGGACGGACAAGGGACGCGGACACCTTGACGCCGCACGCCAAGATCTTCTCTAGGGAAGAACAAGTAATAGGATGCTTCGCAAATTTCAGAAGCTTCACATGCTGTGAACGCACCTGTTCTCATCTACCGCATGCTGCTTGGAGCCCTTTGGGCAGATCCCAATACTTATCTTCAACTAGCCCCGCACAGAGAGTTGATGTGGTTTTCTCAATGTCAGATGTCCTTAAAGCACCATGAGCACACTGCCTTTCATTTGGACACACGCTGTTTCATTAACCATGGCACACAAACATGAGATGTTATAAATTACGTAAGCATCCTCCGGCTGTCGAAGCGGAAGTCTCGGGCATTTGGACTGCGAACCATTACAGCAGGATCCTGCAGTCAGAGGGTTTCGTGTCTTGTGTCTTGAGGCAGTCTCCAATATTCCGCATTCCGAGCCACCGCACTCACTACCCTCGCATTGCCCTCGCCTCGGTCACGCAAGGTGTTTTCCAACATCTGCGATGATGAGGAAAGCGGGGGGCAGCTGGGTAGCTGGGCATGCACGCTGCAGGCTTTAGAACCATTTGGGTTTGTCTCCGAATGAGAGGGTTCTCTTTTGGTTTCCCTTTAAAACAACTGCACCAAGGTACCCCACTCATGTGCTTAACATAAGAAGGGTCATTCAGGGCCAAAGTAACTTCATAAAACGACGGCCGATCGGATTGTGGTTGTCAGCATCAGGAGGAGCACGTGCGGACCATGACGGCATGTGAGGACTGAGTGCATTGGATGGTGCCGCGTGCTTGCAATACCACTTCCATACAAGTCTCTAAAAGCTTCCTTTGACCTATAGGGATCTATAGAGACCTTCAGTCATAGACAAACCCGTCAACAGCTACGTTTAAAACCTCCAGCCGGGGATGAGACTCACCAGAATCTCCAAGATGAAAACGGTCTGGCTCATGCCATCTGCACAAGTTACAAGGATCTCTCCTAGGAGTAAAACGAGCTCATGGAAAATGTAGGCCCTTGACTTCAGGACCCCTGAATGCGCTCAGGTTGGCGGATTCTAGTCACTTAGGTCCGCATGGCTTTTGGGAGTTCAGGAGTGGAGCCGGGGCGGCAAGCCGCCAGTGGACGTGGGCATTAACTTCAACAGCAAGCTCTCCAAAGCCGAATACGTGGAGAAGGCCGCTGCAAGTGCGCGGGGTAATTTTGGGGCTTCAGGTCTTGCCCCGGGGGGCAAGGCATGTTGTTTGCTTGCCCGAGCGTGGTTTCTGAATTCTGAAGGGTCATGCCCACTGCAAATTGCAACCTTGAAAGCCCCATCCTTGCTGATTTCAAACGACAGCTGCATTCGGCAGACATCCTGGGTCTTGGAGAGACTTTTGCCTTGCTGAACAATCGCCTCCCGTTTTGCGCCTGCACTGAGCCTTGGGATGTTTGTTTTCTGTAAGCTTCTACGCGGTGACGCCTTGCTGGCCCTGGGGAGGGATCGTTTAAACAGCATGACCTCGCTGGGAAGGATGTCCTGTGACCAAGCGGGTGTTTACTGAAATCTCGCCTCTCCCCCAAGGATGATAGGTGCAGGTAAGTCTTGTGTTTCCCTTTACAATTCTCCAAGAAGGGGGCTTCCCTATTTGGTGTATGGAAGGGGTGAGGCCAACACCCAATCAATTGCAAGTGGGCTTTTCAGTTGGGGGATGGGTCGGGTGGTTTTGTACCTTTCTCGGGTCTAAGCCTCCCATGGGCCAAGTGCTTTTGGAGTTTCTCTCTCTAGGGTGATGTTGAATGGGGACATATGATCAGCCCAGTGGCTACTGCATGTTCTGTTTTCTCAACAGGTCACCCAGACGGCTGCCGGCCGTGCAGCTTGGGTGGCCTGGGGCGAAGAGGCGCTGGTGGGTGGGGAGTCTATGCTTCTACCCCCTCAAGAAAGGGACGCAAACGAAACAAGGATACTCGCCGCTCCACGACGCCCAATCTATGGTCGGCCCTGAAGACCAGGTTTTCGGAGCTCCGTATCTTCCCTTGTTTGAAAGGGCATCACAAGACCTCACTTTAGACACGGCATACAAGCTTCCCAAATAAAAGATGACACAGACAGGGCGGTTTATCGTTGGTTCTCTTGGCTCAGCCTATGAGGGACTGTCTTGGCATCCCACCCCGGTGTTGGGGAGCTTTCCGAGTTGGTCAACATGTGCTGATTCGTCTATGGTCCATTTGGGAGGGATGTTGGCCACCTGCAAAGCCCTGTGAACCTCCCACGAAAACCAGAGGACGCTCATACTGTTCCATGTCCAGGGTAAAGGGAGAAGTTGACTGCGGCTCATGCAGAACTTGTGCGCAACGACAGCGCAGGAATACAAATAAGCACGTGCGCCACCATAGGCGAGGATCATAGCAGGCAGACATGTAAGGACTCCAGGGGGGAGGAGGCCAGACTCGATAAGTATCGAGTGAGAGAGACAATGGATGTGCCTGCATTGACGCATTGACAGAATTGGCTGGGGCGGGCCATGCGAGCACAAAAGGAGCAGACCTGCGCCGCTGGATACAGTTGCCTTTGTTATCCCGACAGATGTCGCTAGCCGCCGTGCGCAACATGCCCTGGCGGTTTTGACACGACGCTTATAGGATATCAAACAAGGTTCTTCCCAGCTATGTCGATACAATAGAGAGTTGCTTCTAAGCTCACGTTGACTCCTTTGGCACCACACATGCAGGCAACAGCCTGTCCAATACGACCAGCTCTTGTTGATGAGTAGTTTGAGGCACATGCAGGCTCACACTCAGTGTTATCAACCACGCGAGGCTGTCGTAGCCTAGAGCCAGCCCACTGAATCAATGAAGCAGCAGCCTCATAATGCAATTTCAGTCACTCACTATATTATTTGTAGTCTTCCGTTGGTTTGGGGATGACGTGGGGCGATCGCCTCAATTTCCCACAAAACCCACCGGAACTCTGGCCCAATGTTCCCATGTTCTTTTTGGGAAACCAGCCATTTCGTCCGTTGCACATGCGAGCGCTTGGGAATCTATTGTTCAATGATCGATGCCGCGAAGGCCCTTGCAGCAAGAGACCTCAAAGAAGGAGCAAACATGACTGGGTTTACCGCAGCAACCTTAACAGTTGATGAGATGTTCCGATCCCAGCGAATGCTTTCCATGTCATCGGCGTTGCTAACCTGTTGCCAGTCGCGACTCATTGCCATCGCAGGTTGCAAGACATGCTGAAGCTGGTCGCGGTCAAGTTTGAGCCTCAAAGGCAGGGCACAAGAGCCCAGCCACACGGGCCATGGTTATGGTTGTTTCGTGCGCTTGACAGGGATAGTTTAGGCAATCACGGTTCCTGACAAGGGATATGTCTATCCGTTCCACAATGCTACAAGAGCCTCCCTTTTCTCACTATTCAGGGCTTGGCATTGCCAGACTTGGCTCCCTTGTTGACTCTTTCCCTGGACTCCTTCATGTTCCCCTGCAACGAGCAAAAAGCAGACTATAATGACACACTCCAAGTCACGGACTAAGCTCGAGGCAAACCCGCAGCCCTCCAAACAACAAGCAGGCAAGCAAGCAATCAACTCGCCAACCAAGCAGACCATGCAAGCAAAGCAAACCATGGCGGCAAAGAAGAGAAGCAAACGCAACAAAGGACAAGCGACTCACAAGCGACCGGATACCACGAACAATTCGCCTCAGTACCCCATCCACCGTACTTGCTGGCATCTAGCATTATCATGCCCTCTGGCCCCCGATTTTCTTCCCGAATCTGTCCGACGTGGGGTTTGGATTTCCCGTTGGGAGGATGGGCAAAGTTGATGAGGGGTTGTGCAATGCGGCTTGCGAATCGTTCTTGGGGTGCCTGGCATTGACGAAGGAAACCAGGGCAGACTCAAGGTCTGATTCTGCTTGCATTCTAAGAATATGTTTATGAGTTATGGGTATGTGGGTATTGGGCATGTCTCAGAACAGAGCCCACTTTGGGATTGAGAATGGCAGCCAAGAGGACACCAACCACCGGGAGGGGTCCCAACCGGTGAGAGGCGCACATGTTGGTTATTTGCTTTAATACGGATAGCCAGGGGTGTTTCAACTGTATCCCTTTTCCAAGGCGGCACAAGGCGCCGCAAGGGTCCAAAAGGCCGAATCTTGGTGCACACAGAGACGTCCACCACATATTTTTCCCTAGAGTCAGATTCAAAGGTACACTCAGACTTACTTGCCTTTTCCAAGAGCCCAGCCAAGCAGTCGGTGTCCAGCCAAGCAGCCGGCCCGGCCTCTCGAACAGGCGCATTCGGAGACGTGAATCAAATGCACAGGAAGCGGCGCTTCTTTTCCAGCTGCGCCGCGCCAGTTTTCCCATCGATTAGCGAACAGGTTGCAACGACAGGCTGTGCCATAAAGAGTTGGCCTTGGCCGACCCTCGACACACCTGCACCCAGAGCTACAAGCTGGGGGCAAAGGTGACTGCGACTTGAGTTGGCAAACAGCAAAGGGTGTCCCACAAGACGGTGCCTTCTTTTGTCGTGCATGGCCGGCATGACCTTCTGACGAGTGCTTCCACCTGATTTGCTAGCAACACATGTTTTACAGGCCGCGAACGACACGATTTTCTGCATGCATATGCAGATGCACGCGAATTCGTGTGACATTTGAAGCTAGGGACAGTGCATAGGCAGGACAGGGGCTGCTTTTGCTCTAAACCCTGCACAGACCTTCAGACCAAGTCAAGCATCGCAGAGAAACTCGTGCGCGCTGGCCCACGGCTGCTGGAATTGCACGGGTGAGGGGAGGCAATGAGCATGTTTACTGGTTGGGACACCCTCAAACATTTGCCAGCGTGGACACAAATCCCCACGGAAAGGACGTCCACCGAGCGGAAGCCTCAATTTGAAGTAGAAGCCATTTGAGCAACCTGCAAGAAATGCCTATGATCGGGGATGTGCATCGAGACGTTGATGTAGCCCGTGGGTTGTCAAAGTCAGCAACTACAACTTCCAGTTTCAAGACGATTTGCAAGTTGCTAGCATTCCTTACATTTACTTCCGGCAGAGGGTGCTATTCGAACATGAAAAGAATCCTTACATTCAACCGCCACGCCCTTCCTGGCTTCGCAGCTGAATGTGATCTGATATGAAGCATCTCAATGTGCCCCACAGACGCGGGCCCTTTCAAACCAGTCCTTCTCAAACCATTTTAGGCGTGCCCAACTCAAGACGCCTCCCCAAGATCTATCCCAGCGAGAAACTAACATAGGCTTATGTTTCTGTCATATCAGTCGGTCGATGGTCTTTTGAATTCATGATCCAATGTGCTGAGACTCATATCCACATAGCAAAGCGGCATGCGATGCGACTGGCATGCCTGGCATGCCTGGCAGCGGGCTGAGCTTGGCATTGCTCTTTTTGGGGTCTGCGTGGCAGGTTCGAAGCGCCCAAGATAATTTCTAGGATGTCTCATGCAGGGAATCCAGGGGCAAGGATCCCTGAAGCAGGATTTGCTCAAAGAGCACCGGGCACAGGATTTTGGTTTGAAGTTGGTCGCTCTCATAGAAGAGCCTGCCGTACCATGCTGAGTCAAAGCGTCAACTTAAGAAAGAATTCGACTCAACGAACGGCAAGGGCGTTCATGGTCATACATGATACCCGTTTTCGAACTGAAGGGTGTATTGTAGCAGGGGCATATCATAGTGTTGCCATCAGAACTGACAATGGTACCATATAGGATGATGATGCTGTCTCTGTCAGGTCCGATTCTGTGTGCGGTGCGGTGTGTATGTGCCCGTGCGCGTGCCTTTGCATTTGTGCGTCTGATGCGCTTAATGTAGATGAGATTCGAGGGTTGCCCAGGTCGAGTGTTCCATAGCTGTGAGCTCATCTTAGGTTCAACATGTTGTGGTTGGCGAGCACCATTCGGGCCCAGGGCAGCTGCCTCCATGACAATAGCACTTCTGTTCCAAGAATTAGTGATCCCAACAGGTTGGATTCCTTGTGGCTCCTTGAGACACACCAAAAGTGGCGCCCTGTTTGGACACACCCATATGGATACAGTCTCATCCCAAAAAGCTTTAAAGACCCATGCCCTATATGCTCATGGGTACTTGAGATGGTTGAGCCGCTGCCAGCTTTGCAATGAGTGCGACCGTGGGCAAACTTGCTAGCAGTCAGCGCAATGGCGGAATTTTCTACGGTTGGGTCATTGTGGCTGTGTGCATCCTGTGCAAGATGTTCAAGATACAGGCCCGCACAAACATCAAGAAGACGGCATGCTGTGAATTGTGAACACATTTTCCTGTGCATGTCCGCGTTTCATGTTTCAGCAGACCACGCTTAAGCAATCCATGAATCATCCAGTGGTCTTCAAGCCGCACAAGCAAAACTATCGTCATGCTTTAAATCCGTGGCTCCCATTCCATTGCCCGGAGACATTTGAATTGCCCTCTGAGCCCACTGTCCCTGTTTTTTTTTGTTTTGTTTGTCTTCCTTGTCCAGCTACACAGCATAGTTTCCTAGGATCTCTGTGATTTGGTTTTGTTTCGGGCGGGTTTTCTTTTCGGTGTTTCTTTATTTTTCTTAGAAAGGGAAGCTGCGCAGGGCCAGAACAATGTGATGTCCTACACGGTGCCCCACCTGCTGGAGGACTTCAACTTGTCCCACTCAGAGCTCGGCGGCCTGTTTTCCGTGGCGACCATGTCCGCCGGACTGGTCCAGCCGTCGCTGGGACGTGCCATGGACCGATTCGGCGCACGTGTGGCTCAGCAGATTGGAGATAATCCAACATGCGTTGATTGTTTGGTGTTGTTGTGTAGTGTTGCATGTGTGTGTGTGTGTGTTCTGCCTGCTTTGTTTGTGAAACTGTGTGATTGCTTGCTTGCTTTGCTTTGCTCTTTGCTCTTTGCTCTTTGCTCTTTGCTCTTTGCTCTTTGCTCTTTGCTCTTTGCTCTTTGCTTTTTGCTTGCTTGCTTGCTTGCTTGCTTGCTTGCTTGCTTGCTTGCTTGCTTGCTTGCTTGCTTGCTTGCTTGCTTGCTTGCTTGCTTGCTTGCTTGCTTGCTTGCTTGCTTGCTTGCTTGCTTGCTTGCTTGCTTGCTTGCTTGCTTGCTTGCTTGCTTGCTTGCTTGCTTGCTTGCTTGCTTGCTTGCTTGCTTGCTTGCTTGCTTGCTTATGTGTTTCTTTGTTTTTAATGGCTTTGGTTGTTTTGTGTTTGTTTGTTTGTTTGTTTGTTTGTTTGTTTGTTTGTTGGTTTGTTTGTTTGTTTGTTTGTTTGTTTGTTTGGTTTGCTTGTTTGTTTGTTTGTTTTGTTTGTTGGTTTGTTTGTTTGTTGGTTTGTTTGTTTGTTTGTTTGTTCGCTTGGTTGCTTGGTGCGTTGCTTGCTTCTTTTTGGGGGGATATGTACGTGTATAGTCGTGTAGGTTAGTTTTCCTTTGACATCAGCTAACAATCACAGGTGTTTCCAGTTTATTTGGTTGGAAGGAAGTTTTTGAACCTAGGCTAAGGGCCCCCCCCATCCGGAACATGCTGCCGTTGTGGTTTTTGTGGCCTGGACATGCCCAACATAGGTCGAATGCTGTTTCAGCGACGCGACCAGACTCTGGTCTCCTTCAACAACCAGACTTCCGGTAACCCTACGAAACCACCCCTAACCTCCGAACTCACCGGATCCAAGCCACCAATTGAAGGGAAGCTGAAGACTGGGGTGTCCTTCCATTTAGATTTAGGCAACACTGGTTGAATCCCAGGCTACAAGGATGACCCGACCGTGCTCCCAGAGTGACCTGTGTGCCAAACTAGGCGGTTTCCCCTCCTAAATGCCGGTTCTCCGTTTGGTTTCCCAAGAATCTGAGCGCAAGGTGTGCATTCCCGCCTTGCAGCTGGGCATTGCTTTTACTTTGCTGGGCTTCGGGGCTTGGAGGCGGCCATCTGACAAGCTGGTGCTCTACCTCCAGACACTTGGCGCCGGCCTTTTCAGTTCCCAGTGATTCCCCTTGGCGTGTCCCTTGGGTTTGCCTATTTGGAATGTCCTGTATTTGGGTTTCCCTTTTTGAGTTTCTTGGGTGTCCCTGTTAATAATAGGCTGCTGCTGCTGGTTTTCCTTCTGGGTTCCTTGTTTTCTTATTTAAGGTTCTTGGCATGGGTTTTTGCGTTGCGAATCTGTGGTTCAGTTTGTTTGTTTTCTGGCTTCAAGTACATCAAGGGTTGGACTGTCAGCTCCTTTTCGGCTTCACCCAATATCGAAATGGGTTTCTTTGGATGTTTGTTTGGTGTTCTGTGCCAAAGACAAGCCTATTTTGCCACGGAACTCAACATTGGGGAGCAACCTCGCAAATTCCCCTTTCCGAACCTTCGAAGATTGGCGGCTCATTGGAACCCAACAAATCCATGAGCTTTTTGTGGACTAGGTTCGATCTGAAGCAGAGTTGCTCCGAACCTCAAAACAAGGACCAAGCTACAAGGGTAACAAATTGGATTGGGTTCGTTTTCCCCTTCACCAGGGCCCAATTTCTACCCCGATTGATTCGGTCGAAGGATCATTTGCATTTTCTTCTTCCTGCGCATGCTGAGCATTGGCGCCGGGGAGACCTTTCCGAACGCAGCGGTACAGCAATGGTTCCGCCGTAAGCGGGGCCGAGCGGTTGGGGTGGTCTTCACCTTCCAATGGCTGGGCAATGGGCTGATTGGACTGGCGGTGTCCGCAGTGGTGAGGATGGGCATAAGACGAGCTTACCGTGTTGTGGGGGCGGGGCTTCTCATGTTTCCGGCTTGGGAGTGGTTGTCATTGCTGAGATATATAATGTAATATATATATATATATGGGTTTGTCCTTTTTTGGTGTGTTGAGTTGCTTCATAAGGCAGAAGGTGGGACCTCCCCGAATCATACCCCCGAATCATACCCCCGAATCATACCCCGAATCATACTCCCGAATCATACCCCTTAAAACGTATGCTGCAAGATGCTACTGTTCTTCTACCGCTTTGTGTGGTTCACTGTCTCCACAACAACCACCACCAGCGCTACCCAATACTACCACTACCACTGCCACTGCCACTACTACTACTACTACTACTACTACGACTACTACGTTTATTACTACTACTACTACTACTACTACTACTACTACTACTACTTCTGCTACTACTATTCCCGCTTCTGCTGCTGCTGCTGCTGCTACTACTCACTACTACCACATACATCATTCTGAGTCTGTAATCAGTGCCGTTTTGCACCTAGCCGAATCATGCCCGCGAATCATACCCGAATCATACCCGGACAATGAGCTTCCCCTGCCAAGGCTAGTGCTAAGTCTTCTTCACAGCGTCCGCACCACTACAGCCGCTGCTGCTTATGCTACAGCTGCTACCACTACTTCTGCAACTGCTACTACTACTACTACTCTTACCACTACTACTGCTACTACTACTACCACTACTACTACTACCACAGCTACTACGAGTTTGTAAGCAGTGCCGTTTTGCACCTAGCCGAATCATACCCGCGAATCATACCCGAATCATACCCGCGCAATGAACTTGCCTTGCCAAGGCCGGCGCCAAGTCTTTTCAAAGCTTCCGCGCCACTACAGTCGCTGCTTCTACTGTTACTACTACTACTACTACTACTTCTACTACTACTACTACTACTACGACTACTAGTACTACTACTACTACTACTTCTACTACTACTACTACTACTACTACTACTACTGCTAGGACTACTGCTGCTACTATTTACTACTGCTACTACTCCTACAACAACAACAACAACTACTACTATTACTACTACTACTAGTACTACTAATAACTACTACTACTACTACGACTACTACCTTTGTTACTACTACTACTACTACTACTACTACTACTACTACTACTACTACTACTACTACTACTACTACTATTGTTACTACTACAATATTACTACTAGTACTACTACTTCGGCGACTACTGCTACTACTACTACTGCTGCTGCTGCTTCCGCGAATCATACCCCCGAATCATACCCCGAATCATACCCGCGAATCATACCTGCGAATCATACCCCGTACTCAAACCTTCCTGCCCGGCCACCCTAAAAAAATACAAGCCCATATATAGTTAATTTCTGCTTCGACCCGCAAATTCCTAAGCTCTTCTGAACATAGGCAATATTTTCAACAGGTGCATGGCTTGTTGGAAGCGTGGAGCCAGGAGATATAGTTGGCACGCAGCTGCCTTCGCTGGCTCCGGCGTCAACCTGATGCTGGCGCCTTTGTCAGCCCTGTTGCTGAGGCGCAGCCCTGAGGTGTGCGGGCTATTGCCTGATGGAGTTGATGATGAGGAGGAGGTCAATCTCAAGGCTGCCAGTCCCGAGGACAGTGGCTTGCTCCGAGCTTGAAAAGTTACAGCTCGAACCTTTGCGGCCTCTAAGAGTAGCTTTTCAGGCACCAACTTCCCATTGCGAAAAAGTCCCAAAGAGAGCAACCCTGAGGAGACCTCCAAGGAAGATGCTGCTAGGGCACCTTCCTTTGAGGTCCGAAAGCTCTGGCCGCACCTGCTGTTCTCCTTCTTTTATGCAGTCATGTACGGCGGTTCTGATTTCTACATGGTGGAAATGGTGGCAGAGGCCTCCGGAAACGCCAAAGAGATCTTGGTGTCCTGGCACATTTTCTGGCCCTTTGCCCTCACAAACGCATTGGCGGTGCCTTCGGTTGGGGAGCTGATGCTTGGTCCAGTAGCACCCATTTCCCTCGTGCAGTTTCATTTTAAGCATACATCAAGCAATGAAGTTTGCAAGTGGGGGTTGTTCTTGTTGGGATTCCCTTTTTGCAAGGCTGCACAGGATGGCAGATTTGCAAAATGGACCGGGCATTGTTAGACACAAGTTTCCAAGCCACCTAGGATGGACAAAGTTCAAAGCAAGCGTCTTCCGATGCTCCTGCTTGCCATCGCTGCTCTCCTGACGGCCGTGGCAACAGTGGGGCTGACCTGCGTGACCAGCCGCTCGAACGCCGTCCGGGAGCCCGGCCTGTGTGCGAAAGTCGCCCGGTTCGGCAACACGAAAGGCCCGACTCAGGAACAAAGGAAAATCCGGTTTAGGAACTGCCAAGGCCGATTCGGCAATTCAGACAATTAAATACTGACCTGCTTTAGCAGCTAGAAAACAGACACTCTATTTTTGCACAATTACTCTCCAGGGGGAGAGATGAGAGGGCTTATGTTAAGCTTCTTTGTGAAGTATGAGGTATGTTAAGCTTCGGGCCTTTAGGGTTGACTGGGGTGCGGGAATGGGAGGAATGTTGAGCTCCGGGCTGCAGCTGCAACAAAAGCCTTTGGGTGGCTGGGCTGGGGGGCTTTTTTGGGGGATGTTGGGCCAACTGCGACAGAGCAGCGCTCTTGGGCTGGATGGGATGGGGGTCGGGGGTGTTGAAGCTTCTGGCCAACTGCAACACAACAGGTACTCCTGGGGTGGCTGGGGGGGCGGGGGAGCTTCTGGCCAAATGGCGGCACAACAAGTAGCGTTTGGGGTGGATGGGGTGGGGTGGCTGGGGTGGGGAGTTGTGGGGATGTTAAGCTTCGGGTCAATTACGAGCACCGCAAGTTCTTCGATGTGAAGCTTCAGGTCAAGTGCCAAGACAAGAGAGCTTGCAGTCAGTGGGGTGGAGATGAGCAAATTTTAGGCCAGCTACACCAGGGGGAGGTGACTTCCTCCCCGAACAAAGGCTTTAAATTTAGGAATGATCCGGGTTTTGCTCACAACATCACACTTGCATACGCGTTGGCAATATGCCAAGAGTGACGAACCCTATCTTCTTCCCGAAGGTTCTTTAATTTGTTTGGCTGGCGATGCCCAACTTGTCAATTACCCGGGCTTCGTCTTTTGAGCTTGCAGAGATGCAGCTTTGTGTCGGAGGATAATCTGAGTGATGAGCCTTGCTTGTCACCTAGTCAACATTGTTGGGAAACGGTAGGTTGAGGCTTTTTAGTTTGTGAATAGTTGTGTGTTTCTGAAGAAGCGTTTGTTTTTAGTTTCTGAATAAAAACCTTACAGACCTTTGTTGCCACAGAACATCATTCTTCAGAGTAAAACCAAATGGATGATAAACGAGAAACCAACAGGGCACCAATGCAAGACCGAAGGGCCCAGTTCGCTATTGCGGAAAGGTCTTGTATGGCGTGGTCCGGGGCTTCTCTTCCGGCATCTTCCAGTCCCTGCTGACGGCGGGCCTGGCTTTTGCAGCCGCGGGGGTGCCTCGAGAAGAGATCGGCCGAGTGCTGGGCTTCAATCAACTTACCACCGTAGTGGGCACGGGCACCTGGGCAAAAGGACGGACAGCCAATTGAGTTGAGCGCCCGAAACCTCGAAACCTCGGTTCATGGGGCTTATAGTACTGTTTGACATTAAAGATGGTGGGGGGGGGGTGGGTCAGAAAAGCAGTTGGACATTGTGGATGGCGCTTGTGGTAAGCCAGGTGTCACATGTTTTTGTTGTGTGTTCTATGACGATATGGGGCAACTGTGCTTATTCCTGAGCCAACAGTTTCCAGTGAGTTGAGTTCACTCAGGCGTGGGCCCATGCTTCTACGGCTTTTGTCGTGACCTTTTCGGTGCCTTCCAGGGTGCCCTGCTGCTAACGGCGCTGCCTCCCTTGGCGCTGAGCCTCTACTTCGGGTGCCAGGCCCGCAAGGCGATTCCTCCGGCGGATGCCGACGCCGGCGAACAGGCCGGACTGGAGCCCGAGGTCTTTGGCCTGGAATCGGAGGCGTGACAAAAAAGGAGCCGAGCGGCAGGCCTTTTTTTTCGCGTTTGCAGGGCAGGGCTCAAGATTTTGCGTCAACCCCCCCCTTTCTAGCCGTTCGGTTTTCTGGCAGTGGCAATCCTGTTGCCTTTTTATCCGCTGGCTTACTTGGCATTAAACTCGTTAACTTTGTGAACAAGAATGGATGCGGTCATGCTGCTACTGAGAGAAGGTGAGAGTACTGCGATTTAAGCAAAGAGCGACTCATGCGATTGCCTTTTACTGGTGTGCTTTCTCATTTGAGCAGCTGTTTGTAGATGCGCTTACGTGTGTTGTTGAGAGGTCTGCTGTGGTGTGCACTTTTGGGCAAAGTTTAACTCCAGGATGGATGTGTTGGGTTTGACGGTGGTCGCGCACCTGCACATTGACTTGCAGCTTGCGGCCGCTGACAGTTCTAGCCACTTCAAAAAGTCAACGGTTTGGGCTATGGTTCCGACAAGATGGGGCCGCAGAGTTTGCCAGCTGATCCGCTGAAGCACTGTCACTATCCACCCAGCTGGTGGCACCTTGAGGTTCCTTGGGTGTTGAGTTTCCTCAAAACCCAACTGAGCCATTGTCAGGTCTTGCCGCTGGCCGCCAGTGTTTTCGTGGCCCCCACTTTCCAGGGTGAGGGAAGTGCAGCCCGGGCCCCAAACCATGTGGTGGGACATGGGTAAACGGTCTACCTTGGGTCTTCACTGGTTTCAGTTTGGTTCCAATGATTCACCAGGGCCATGTGTTTGTTCACAAGGAAAGCTAGGAAAAAGTCACCTGAACTGGCTGGCACCAACCATTTATGATGTTTGCTTCATCCACAAGTTGTTCACTTGCACCACCGCTTCACCATGACATTGGCGCTTTTAACATCATGTTTGTTCACGATGTATATTTCGCCGGTACTGCAAGTCAACTTGTCAGACATGTGGGATACACATGCCAGAAGACTTAGTTGCCAACCCAATCCAGAACCTGCAGCCATTGGCGTTTGGCTGGGGCTTGACGAGGTTTCCAGTCTTGGGTACGGTTCTGTTGAGGAGGTCAACGTAGGGGAGACATGGATTTACCCCAAACAGAGCAGTCTTACCTAAGCACGAAAATCACCCAGTGACCCAGCAACGCCTACTTGCTTGCTTACAGTCAACAATCTCATGGACATGTCTATATAGAGGTTTGTTGGCGATGCGGAAGCAAAGCAGCCATTCAGCTGCGACTTCTCAGAGATCTCAAGCTTCCGCTTCACTCATTGCACATGTCCAACCTGCTTTCACTGGTTTATGGCCTTTAAAAGGAAGATTCCTGGTCGGTTCCTGGGGAGCTGGGCTGGGCGTTGGCAATGAGTTCAGCTTGTCAAGGCGCCGGCGGTGTTCGGCTTTACAACCTCCAGCCAGGATGGCCTGCCAGGGGAGTCGAAAAGGGATTTGCCAGGGAAGGTGATTATCATTGGCTTCATGTCTAGTGGTTGGGATACAGACAAAACATGAGGCTGTTCCGGTGTTTCCGTTGGCCGGAAGCCGTCTCGAGATGAGGAGCAGAGGTTTGCGCTTGTTCTTTTTTGCCAACTACAGGGGACCCAAGAGTGGTTGCTCACTCCGCCACGAGTTGTTGCTTTTAAGGGTGCCTTGCTTGTTTGTGTTTCAATGGGAAACCACACAGAAAGGAAAGCCACCAATTTTGGGGGTCCCTTCAAACACGACGCACCCTATTACTCGCAGTCCAAGGATAGAATCCCAAATCAGGAGCCCCAAAGGTGACCTTTTGTCAGCCTGGTCGACGGGAGGAGATCTTTTCAAGGACCCTTGACAACAATTCAGAAAGAAGCAGAAGGGAGCAAGGACCTTCCTGTGCTTGACGGAAGGTTGGTCAGCAAGGATGGAGCCAGTAGCGCATGTTGTCCATGTGCACAGCTCCCTTCCTTCTGCTGCGATTTGGCAGATGAGTGCCAGGGAAACTGATTTGGTCCAGCAACGATACCAAGGAGAGACGCTGCATGATGCGTTCTGACATCCATCAGAGAACGTAGCAAGCACCTTCCAAACGATGGGGTCGACACGGACAACAGAAGAACAGTGCAAATACCTGTCCAACGATCAACGTGTGATATCATTTGCGATAGCAAGCAGCAAGAACCACAACACCACCGTGCGAGCACGTCAAAACAAAGCAGCAAAGGTAAGCAAAGCAAGCAAGTAGCAGGCAGCCGAGGGCAGTCGAGCAGAAGGCTTGCAGTAGGTGGGCTGTCGGGCGGGCAGGCAAGTGCAAGCAGGCAAGAGCAAGGGCAAGAGTGTGAGGAAATTCACGCAAGGCAAAGGGAATAAAATCTACCACACGCAATTGCAAACAGAAGAAAACATTGGGTGTGGTTTGGTTTGGAGTGGACGTTTGAGAAGCTTCTCCCAAATTGACCATCTTCAAAGAAGTGGAAGTGTGTGTCATTTCTTGGAGTGTGTTGGGATTGATGATTACCAAGTGGACATGGGCTTCTTTGCAACTGAGGGACCCCCAAAATGCATGATTTTCCTTTTGTTTCCCTTTAGAGCAACCCGTTAGAGTACAATATCACACCCATTTGATCCAGTCTAGTTGTTTCAGAGCGAGGACTTCTTCCAGCGGTTCCTGCTGGAGCTTAGGACCGGATCTTTGGGATCTTGGATGAATATGTTAGATCTTCAGATTCGCCAGCTGTGAGCTGGCTTTCTGGGGCGACCGAAGATCTCCGTTGTCGCATCCCTGTCAGCGCTTGGCGGCCAGCTGGCTCGGCAAGAATTCCTCGCGAGCGAGGCATTTCAGAATTTCATACTTTCTTGGGCTACGGGGTGGGTATTGCACATGGGGCTTCTTTCATGCATGTCCTGTGGTTTCCCTTGACAAAAAAGGAACATCGGAAAATATTTTGCCGCTTCAGTAGTGGGGGTAGGGCGGACACGGGATGATAGGATCGTCTTCTTACTCGACGACCTTCAGCCCAGCAGCGCCATCTCGGAGGTGGAGACTTGCCATGATCTCCTGGCCGAGGCGACGAGACGAGGGACAGGACTAGGGAACTGGGTCCCGAACCCATCGGTTAAGGTACGTACCAGGTACTTAAAGGGGCGATCGGGTGCTTAGCAAGTGAAAAGTAAGCCCGGTTATAACGCACTTAGGAGACTTAGAACCATGATAAGTGAGTTATAAAGTTATAACCATGGTTAGTACCCACTTACTAAGTACCTTGGGACCTTGCACTTTTAAGTACCTTGACCGGGTACCCAAAGTTGATGGGGCCTGTTTCAAATCTGTCTGCTTGAAAATCATGTTTATTATCGTTATGCTAGATGGTGGTGTCCCTTGTAGTGGTGTTCCACTACGACGTACGATCAGGATTAGGGACCCCCCAACTTGAACAACCTGAGGGCATCCTTTGTTTAGTCGTTTTTAAGGGCCCGGTACCCTATGTGTAGACAGCCCCAAATTGGCGATCAAAATGAGCTCCGGACCCTGAGAGGGCTGTTGGTGGATTCACAAGAGCATGTTTGACACCGTTTTGAACCTGACCTGGGCGTCATTTCGTGCTTCATTGGCAGTTCGGGTCCAACGTGATGGTTGCATGGGACGCATGCATTTGGCCCCATGTCAGCGATGTCAAGCATTTGAAGTTGACCTTGTGTACGTGTCATCGACGCGAAGAGATTGACACAGTGATGGTTGTGGGATCAATTCTGAAAGCCGATACCGTGACCAAGATAGGCCTGCCGCGGTTTCATACATGTGTGTGTGCAGATTCTGGCCACTTTAGTGGCAGAAATGCTACTGAGCGCGAAGCGATTCCGCAAAGTCGATGCCAATCCTCATTGTATCCTCCGTGCAAATGACAACGAGCTTGCCTGCGGGCAAACACACTTATGGTGAAGAGCCTTTACTTAGGGGGTTGGCCTATGTTAGCCTGCTTCAAGCTTTCAGCTTGTTTGTCGTTTCAGTGGCGTTGCTTTAGAAAACATGTGTACTGTAGAGGTGGGCACATCAAGACAAAAGGTAGCAGGTCACCACACTGCCTCCACGGAAGGTTTGTGGAAGGTTTGTTTCCCGCGGAAGCTCACGGAAGGGACATGGTTGATTTGCTCTTTCCTGATTCCAGAATTCCATTTGCTCTTTCCAGAATTTCTAGCAAATCCTGCACACGAATTCCTTCGCGGAAGCTGCCTTCCTCATGTTCCAGAAACCACTTGCTCGCGAAAGGCGCGCGGAAGCAGTTGTATAGAAGCATGTTGGCGGAGGAACCCTTCACATCGCGGAGGCAATGTGCGGAAGGTTTCGCGGAAGGGGCCCATATGCCCGTTTCAAGGGAAGCAACACTCATTTGCCCGAGGCCAGTGACAACTTCCCGCCCCCGCTGAGCTGCTACAGCCGCGGCCTGAGGTGTCTCAAATCGATTTGCCGGGCATGCGGCGCGGCAAGTGGCATTGGGAAGGCAGGAAATATGATTGGGGGTGAAGCAACCTTCTCCACCCCAGAGGCGCTGCTGCTTTTTGCATGGCACTACCCGGAGGGTGCGGGGAAGGGGGTTAGGGTTGAAGCGTACTGCACACACTCGCACGCTTTCCAATCACTGTCGGCGCTGCTAGATTGCATATCATTCCGGAGCATTTGTTGAACAGCATCCACAAACGTTCCTGGCAACTTGACCAGAATGCTGTTTAATTTTTGCAGCCCGTCTAACCCATCATTTGAATCACTTGCTTGTGCAGATGAGCTGGCATGCAGACGCTCAAACTGCGGAGTGGCCGGAAATCGTAAGCTGAGCGACCCATGTTTCGCACTTTTGCATCAGCCCAGGTCGCGACTTCAATTCCACCGCCTTTGCCTCGGATTCAACCGGCCTGACCTGTTCACCCTGGCTTGGATTTCCGGCCGTGTTGCCGTTCGTTCTTGAATTGCCACCTGTCTCATCTGCAAATTCCCAGAGATCTCATGCACACGCCCAGATGGCGCAAGCCGTTCCTGTCCCATGCCGAGGCC